AATTTCCTCAAAAGAGTTCAACGCAGATTGGTTGATCAATTGGAACCGAAATCCACCAGCCGCTTCGCATATGGGAGGAGTATGGGAGAGGCAGATCCATACAGTTCGATCGATTTTGTCTTCTCTTCTACGCGATTACGGACACGCCCTGAATGATGAATCCTTACGCACTTTAATGACCGAAGTGGAATGTATTGTTAATAGCCGGCCGTTAACCTTCCCATCCGGTGATGCCACAGATCTCCAACCTTTGACACCCAATCACATTCTGACCATGAAATCTAAAGTGGTTATGCCTCCCCCCGGTGATTTTCAAAAAGAAGATGTTTATCTTCGAAAGAGATGGAGAAGAGTCCAATACATGGCGAACATATTTTGGACAAGATGGAAAAGAGAATATTTGCAAACCTTACAAGCGAGAACGAAGTGGAATCAGCCTAAAAGAAGCATCGAGATTGGAGACATTGTTCTTATTAAAGATGAAAACACCGCAAGAAATGATTGGCCTATGGCACGAGTGGTCAACGTAAGCCAAGATTCGAAAGGACTCGTTCGTTCAGCGACGCTCAAGTTATCATTTTCCACCCAAGAACGTCCAATTGATAAACTGGTACTGTTGATGGAAAACGACGAAACTTTAGATGCACAAAACATTAAGTAGATTTCATTAATTGTTTTTTTTACCTATAATAGTAATTTATTTGTCGACACTTTTTTATATTTGGAGAAGAACGGACAGTTTTTAGATAATAGAAAAATGCACTAACTGGAATTATATTGAATGCAAGACGCCTGCTCAGGCGTTTACACTGGCCTGAAAATGGCAACTTTCGTTTCTACTGGGTGTAATGTATAGTAGAGAAGTAGATAGGGATACAGGATCATAGGGATACTGGATCATATAAATACAACCAATAAATACAATCATGATCAGCAACTATCAACCATAATATACCAAGACGCCGGCTCAGAGTAGTGACCTCCGGCTACGGGCAACTCAACCTGACAAGCCAGGCCAACTGTAATACGATGATCATCAACTACCAACCGTGAATAAGGACGGGCCAATAATAGGGAAGAAATTATAGTCCTTGATTTTTAATGCCTTTTTAGATATGGCTAGTTTCAGGTGCTAAAAAGTTCATAGACGTAGACGATTCTTTTAAAAATTACGTCAATTTGCTTCCATTTATAAGATAAACTAATCCCAACCCAAAGCCCTTCTCTAACTCCAACCAGTAAACATCTAATAAACAATTTGAGAATTAAAAAAGTGGGGGGCAAAGTTGGATCTTGTTCCAAAAACAAATCGAACCGTATCACGTTTCACTACGCCGCACGCAACGCCACCTCGCTGAATACAATCGAAATTCGAAAACATACATTTTATAGTAATATATCATGAATTATAACTTTATTTGGCGCAAATTAATGTAATTAGCTAGGTGCAAATTTATTATTATGCAAATAAATACAAGAGCACAACGCGTGTTTATGAGCCTACGTACAACGTATATTTATACTTGCATGTTAATTAAAAAGTCAAACTGTCAAACAAAGAACTTGTCCTTGTTTATATTCCAGTAATTCAACTATATTATATAAATTCACTGGGTCCAAATATTGGGGTTTTCGAGTCGTTACACAAAGAAAAACACACTAATTCAACACGCAAGAAAGGCCAGAGTGCGGCACAACGTAAAATCCATAGGAAACCGGCACAATTCTTTGAAAATTCAACGAAACTGTGTGAAATATATATTAGATCGCTCAGTGAAAAGCCGCCATTTTGAAACTGAACTGATTATGTCACTGGAGCACGTTGCACCCTGAGTCTGCGATGACCTAACGCAAACTCCATTTCTCGTCGAAAACAGAAAAAGAAGGATTTAAGACACTTGGTCTACAGGCCAGTGTCAGAGGGCCAGTGTAATAACTGGAAGGCTAACTCCTATGATGAAGGCCTATGATTCGTTGAAGCCGGCGGGCGTTTGGCGCGCGGGAAAATCAGCTCGGTGACGTCACGGGAAAAAAAGGCGTGCACAGAGGACTAGGGGCTAGTCTGCTGGAAAATCAGCTTTCAAAAGACTAATGAGAGTTTCGGGGAGTGAAAAAAACAGTGTTTCCACCATCCTCGTCCCCAGGCCCAAGCTCGGGCGGCCCATTTAAATTTCTTTGTTTTACCAAATAATTTCCTTGAAATTTCCTTAAATAACCAACAGCTGAACAGAGGGGACTTCCGTCTACGCATGCGCGAGAAACGTAAGCGTGAGCGCGGGTTAATCGAGTGCACGTGAGCGCGGGTTAATCGCGTGACTGAATTCTAAAAACAAACACCAAATTTGCCAAAACTATTCGTGTTATGAAGTTGTTTTCTTGTTTCTTTAGTGTTTATAAGTCACAATTTTAGGCATTTCCGACTTAGCGATAGAAGTGTTTGCTTTGGAATAAGAACGTGAAAGTAGAAACAAAAGCTTTGTTGCAGCAGTCTAATTTCGCCGTACGAATATATATACCTGTTTTAGGGACCGGTCATAAAGTATGTGTACTGGGGGGGGGGTGGAGGGTAAGGCCATGTTTACATTGTATCGGATCACTTTGCGTCCGACGCAAAAACCATACCGGATAGGGCTTCTGTTTACATATGAAAGTGTTGTTATCGTCTCAATTTCTGCAACGAACGGGTGGTGCGGCGGTTCGCTCTTCGAAGTGGTGCGCGGTGTATCGGATTGGTTTTTGCAACGTCTCATTGTAATGTAAACACCAATCGAAGCAATTTTGGGGTTCAATCATGATTCAAGATGGCGGCAAGCAAACAACAAACGTTACGTTTGGCAATGTTAATGTTGTTTACGGGCATATCTTAATGCTCACTTTTTCAACTTACATCTGCACTATTTTCACTTCTGGTAATAATGTACAAGAAACGACGAAGGTATAGACTGATGGCTGTACTGGAGTCTCGTATGAGGGGGTCAAAGTTGATAAGAAGACCTCGAAGAATGTGAATAAGACCTGGTCGCTCAAATATATGGTGGGAAAACTTTATAAACGAAAAGGTTGTCAGTGAAGAATGGAAGGAAAATTTCCGTATGTCTAAACCTGACTTTCTGAAACTTTGTAATCAGTTGCGGCCATATCTTCAGAAGAAAACGACTAGATATAGAAAACCTTTATCTGTAGAGACACAAGTTGCAATCACACTTTACTATGTTGCTGACGAAGGACGATTGCAAAAGGTTGCAAATGCCTTTGGGATTGCAAGATGTACTGCCTCAGTTGTAATTAGGCGTGTCACACAAATAATCAGTTATGTTATGGGAAGTTGAAGATGAATTCCAGTCGAATTTGCGCATGCGCTTATTATTGTTTACATTTTATGTTTTTATCTATTACATGCAAGTTACATGAAGTATGACTGTCCTCTCATAAAAACAATGGCGGAAACGATTGGAGATCAGTGATGAACATTTAATTCGGATCATATTACATTATATAATACCTTATTAAATTCTAATCGTTTAATTGGCTGTTTATGGTCACGTGATATTGAATAGAAAATTCCATTTCCCAAGAGTGCAATAGAACACGTTCCATTGCACCAATGGAATAAAACGTATAGTACAATTGCACTCTTTGTGTTTTCGATAAATCGCATCCCTCAAAATGCTTCTTATACGAATCTATTAGTCTATTTTGGTATTATATAAAACAAATAATGAATGTTTCTTCGTGCAATGGTAAGAATATTTTCATTCGGTGAAAGATGGAATGTTCCATTCAACTCGGCTGTCGCCTCGTTGAATGGAACATTCCATCTTTCACCTCATGAAAATATTCTTACCATTGCACTCATAAACATTCATTATTTGTATATTATACCATTGTCATTGAGATATAAACCCATTTGAATTGTTGCGTTGGCGTTATAATTTATTCAAACTTTCACATTTATGGATATCTCTGTTACGTCAGAAAATTTGGATCAACAGGAACTTATTCAAGCGTCTGAAAACCCTTTTGGTGCTGACAACATAACTGTATGCACTTGTAGGGGTATGTGTTTAAGAGAAAGTGGCCGTAATGCGTGTCCCTGTAAAAATGTTGGACATTTTTGTTCATCAGCTTGCCATAGGCGAATGGCTTCGACTACTTGTCTAAATAAAAGAAACGTCGTACACGGGAACTTATCTTTAGATTCTGATGATACACAAGTGAGTATTGGGCAATGGTTGCTTTTTTATTTTTGACATTGATTGAAGTTTTATTTTTCATATTGACTGAATGGGTGCCTCGCATTTTGATTCATTATAAATAAAATAACTCTGACAGGACTTTTGTACATTTTATACAGTACATTATTTTCCAGGTTTAATACATTACCAAATTATTTATATATTTACAAATCATGTTGCACATGAAAGAGTAGGGCATGTGCAACCATTATATATAGCCTGAACTGCATTCTAAACAATTTACAATACTTGTAGTTATGGAAGTAAGTTAATTAGCCTTTTCTATTCATACAAAAGGCAGTCAAAATACATGTCATTGATATCATATTTACAAAGATTACAATTATTCTCAATGTCATTTCCTCGGTCATTTCCCACTTGATGTTGAAAAGTAAGCGTTTAGCATCATATTTAAGTAAAATCATATCCCACCCCTTCTAGTCATGAATTTTTTGCCAGCCCACCCTTTGTAGCCCAGAATGTTTCCCACCCCCCTACCATTAATAATGACTGCTCCCTTGATTGCTGCATGTACCATAAGTAATTTAGGCTGTGGGCTGTTGTGCGAAAAAGTGCCTAGACAAGCAATTTCGTGGCACCCTCCTGGGAAATAGATTTTCTGTGGTTCAATTCATAGAACCATAGATGCTTAATTACCGCAAAAAGTTCCCAAGCAAAAAACTTCCCCAACACCGCGAAAATGGGTGATCAGTGATTATCCTCTATTAAATTGTATTACAATGTAAAATTTTGTATTCAATTACAACAAAAATGACTTGCATTATCAGAAAGCTTACAAAAACCTACATATAAGACATTTAAACAGTTTTTTCATATCTAAAATTGTTTTAAGTTATATGCTGTCAAAAACATGTTTTGACCTAGTACCCTGTCCTTATTGCGACATTTTGGTCCATTTTTCACATTTAAAACAGCAATAACTCAAAGACTATTTGAAAAATCAAAAAACTGTTTAAAAGTGTTATATGCGGGTTTTTTCTACGTTTTCCGATGATGCAAGTCATTTTTATTGAATTACTGTAATTGAATACAGAATTTCCCATTTTTTTGCTGTAATACAATTTAATAGAGGATAATCATTGATCACCCATTTTCTCAGGATTGGGCAACTTTTTTGCTCGGGAACTTTTTTTGGTAGTGATGTACCAGAGGAATAGAGGTCAAAGAAATAGAGGACAACAAAGAGGAAGAGGGCATGGCAGATTAGTAGCTGAGGAGAATTCAGAAGAGAGAAGGGCTCAGCATGAAGAACAACTGCAGGTGATAATAAACTCAATTTGAATCCAAAATAGGTTGTTTCATTTTAATAATTACAAGTATGTGTGGTACACATAATATCCACATAATGCTGTAAAAATCATTGTATTTCTAGTATACCAAGTAATATGATGTATGCATTGGTTTATTCTTGAAATGTCTTGACTGTGACCATGGAACATCATTTTGGTTTGTAAACATGAGATAAGAGGAAACATGGCAATACAGTAGAGGGTCCACAAAATATACTGTTTCCTTATAGTTTGAGTCAGTATTCTATTATATATACAGAATATCAAGTGTCAAGGAAATTGTGTTAAATTATTGCATGACGTGAACTTATATTGCCCACATAAAAATAACAGTACCAAACTATTTTATTCTTATTTAACATATACTGTAGTAACAGCATACAATGAACCACATCAGAGCTAATCTTTAGTAGTAAAAAGTCAAATTTAATGAATTTCACATGTTACTATATTGTCTAATCAGATGGAAAAACATTAATTTTGACACTTGGTATATACTGTAATATGCTTTAACCTATTAATAATTAAATAATACTCTTTAACAAGCGATTATGTGGTGAAATCCAACCTCAGAGTCGTTATAATACAGGGCTTTAAATTTTTCAGCAGTATCCAATGGGATACTACCAACTTGAAATGGTATCCACCAAGAAAATCTAGTAATTCCAGTATCCCAATTTAAAAAGTTGTATCCTGTTAGATAATTGTATGTGTAAAATAAAGTACACTGTAATGTTGTAAAACGCGGAGTGGAGTGGAATGTAAAACGCGGAGTGGAGTGGATTTGTAAAACGCGTAGTCAAAAATTTGTAAAACGCGGAGTCAAAATTTGTAAAACGCGGAGTCAAAATTTGTAAAACGCGGAGTCAAAATTTGTAAAACGCGGAGTCAAAATTTGTAAAACGCGGAGTCAAAATTTGTAAAACGCGGAGTCAAAATGTCATTTGTAACTAATGTCATTCTATTATATTATACTATTTTATATAGTTGAATTCCAGCGATATAACCTGTCGTTTCTATTAATCACTCGACAGACTTACCAATTGCATTATATATCAGATCTCATCAACTATTTTTAATTGGTGCTATTTTACAAACATAACGAAACAAAACAGAACAAAAGAAAGAAAACTATCGTCTCTGGAACTATTACTAGAGTGCTATGTTTATAAAGTAAGTGCTGTACACAAGAAAGCGAAATATTTCTCGCGCGCATGATTTTTACTATGAAATCAGGTCAACTTAACAGTTACTGAAAGCGCCGCATATACAAAACTGACATACGTTTTCGATTTTCATAATAAATTGACAGTCTTTTTCATACAAATTTCATCATAAATTTTACATTACAAGCTTGCTTCCTTCATGAAATGATGATCGTCATCAAATGAGGTACAGTCAATATATTTTACTTGCGTGAAAGGGGGGTGGGGGAGGGGATTTTTTGAAATTTTGATAGTTTTGCACTCGGTATAGCACTCACTCTATTGCACTCAGCAGATTTATCATTAAGATGCCCATCGAATGTTTTAGTATTCTACACCGATAGGCTATATGAATATGAATATCTTGTCTCTCATTGAGTTTCACTAAGTATTATTATGCAACAGAATAACAGATGGTAATTGTAAATTTTCTTTTTATGTCAAACGTCTAAACTCGTGGTCGTTTGAATTTAATTGACTACAAGTTCTGTGCAAAACGTAGTCCTAATTTTGCATACATTAAATCGTAGTGTTCCTTATGAAGAAATGGAGCCAAATCGTTGGGTAAGTAGCACAATGCCGGGGTAAAGTCTGGGAGGGCTGCTCGTGCACAGTACGAGCTGACATGGAGATAGACTGATGAGATAGTTGGTGATATTTGTAGCTGCCCATCCTTAGGGTATTTCCTGTGCAACCTAGTTGTCAGAACTAGATCGTTTGGTGGAGGAGGCAAAACACCTCCTGGCTTTAACAGTTCTCCACAGCCATAGCATTTTGACACTCGACTATCAAGGTATGGGAGTCTCGCAAATGCGAATGAACCGAAATCTGGTTTCTGTCTTGCTGGACTAAACTGCTGGGCTTGCAATTGGTAGGTTGGAAGAGGACTGGGTTGGGCTTGATATATTATTGGATCAATGTGTATCGGTGTCGTACCAGGTTGAAAGGCGCTGGTTGTCTGTGTCATACCAGGTTGAAAGGCGCTGGTTGTCTGTGTCATACCAGGTTGAAAGGCGCTGGTTGTCTGTGTCATACCAGGTTGAAAGGCGCTGGTTGTCTGTGTCATACCAGGTTGAAAGGCGCTGATTGTCGGTGTCGTACCAGGTTGAAAGGCGCTGGTTGTCGGTGTCGTACCAGGTTGAAAGGCCCTGGTTGTCTGTGTCATACCAGGTTGAAAGGCCCTGATTGTCGGTGTCGTACCAGGTTGAAAGGCGCTGGTTGTCGGTGTCATACCAGGTTGGAAGGTGCTGGTTGTCGGTGTCAAACCA